AACCCTAGATGTAGAGGGGTTGATCAAATGATGGGCCCTTGTTGATGGGTAAACGGGACATTAATGTTATCTAATGTTCTCTCTCCTATGGTTTTTGATTGTTCTTCATTCTAACAGGTTGATAATAAAATTTTTTTCCACATGTAGGCAGGTTCTCTGGGTGTACCTGTGGCTAGTGAGCATCCCTGGCTGGCAAACTTGGTAAGGAAGACTGGTCATTGAATATCACTGTGTGAGGCATTCTTGGAAGTTCCATTATTCCTGATGGTTCTGAGACTAGATGCACAATTCTGTGTAAAGAATAAGTTGGTTTTTTTCCCTGTGGTTCATTGTGCAATTGAAAAAAGATGCATGGGGGCCGAGCCCGTGGCGCACTCGGGAGAGTGCCGCGCTGGGAGCGCAGCAGCGCTCCCGCTGGGGGTTCGGGTCCTATATAGGGATGACCGGTGCGCTCACAGCGCTCACTGGCTGAGCGTGGCATGGCTGGTCTCAAACAGGACAAAAAGAGAAAAAAGAAAAAAGATGCATGGGGGCCGAGCCCGTGGCGCACTCGGGAGAGTGCCGCGCTGGGAGCGCAGCAGCGCTCCCGCTGGGGGTTCGGGTCCTATATAGGGATGACCGGTGCGCTCACAGCGCTCACTGGCTGAGCGTGGCATGGCTGGTCTCAAAAAGGACAAAAAGAGAAAAAAGAAAAAAGATGCATGGTAAGAGATATGGCATCCCACATGGCTGCCATGAGCAGTGGAATGTCCAGTAAAGAAACAAAACGTGTTGATGGCAAAGCCAGGAAAACTTTTTGTGAGGCAAGGCCTGGGCACTAGGAGAGGTTTTTATTACCTTTGGTTGGAGATGGGGATCAGTAACCCTATGCAGATCCAATTTTCAGTATAGAAAGACTTTTAAGGAACTCAACTGTCTGGGAACTTTATAAGCTGACTACCTAAACAATGAAGAGATATGTTAAAACCTTAGGTGACTCCAACCTGTACAAAGATCAACAATAGCACAGAAAAATCAAAGTGTTTGGAACTAAAGGTTCTCTGCTGGTGAGGGAGTTGTATCAGTTCATTTCTGGTGCTTATAACAGAATACCTGGAACTGGGTAATTTTTTTTTTTTTAATTTATCAGTATACAATGTGGTTGATTTTCATGTCTGTTTACCAATTCCTCTTTTCCCCACCTTCTACTCCCCCCCTCAAACTGGGTAATTTGTTAGAAAACAAAATTTATTGCTTACAGTTTTGGAACTGGGAAGTCCAAAGTCCAGGGAACACTTATGGTGAGGGCCTTTTTTGGTTGTGGTTTGCCAGGAACACAGGGGTCTCACCTTGTAGAAAATGGCAGAGCAGAGAAAGAGAGACTCTCATGTGTTCTCCTTTAAAGGTCCTCAGAACCATGCCCATGAACTAGGGCATGGTCTTTACAATCTAATCACCTGTTCAAGGCCCCTCCTTTCAATTATCTTAACAGGATTTCCCACCCTTAACAATTACAATGGGGAATTAAGCTTCAATGACTTTGGTTGTGGTGGGGTGGGGACATTCAATCTACTCCATCCCACTGCTGGCCCCCCAAAACTCATGTCTTTTGCACAGGTAAATATATTCATTTCATCCCCCAAATCTTAACTTGTTTCAACTCAAAAGTCCAGAGTCCAACTGTGAAATCAAGCAAGTTATTTACTTCCAAGATATGATGGTGGAACAAGCATAGGTTACCTATTCCTGTTTGAAAAGGGAGAAATGGGCCAAAAGAAAGGGATAAAAGGTCTTAGACAAGTCCAAAACCCAGCAGGGCAGGCACCGAATCTCAAAGCTGGCAAATCATGTACCTCAACGTTCAACATTCTCTGCACACTGGTGTGGGGATTTGGCCTATAAGTCCTCAGGCAGCTCCACTCCTATGGCTTTCCTAATCTCAGGCAATGATATAGCTCTTGTAGGCTGGCATTGCACACTGGTAGTTCTACAAGTCTGGGGTCGCCATGGTGATCCTGCTTTCACAGCTCCACTAGACATGGTGCTGATGGGGTTTCTCTACTACAACTCCAACCCCACATTTCTGCTAACATTGCTCTAGTGAAGGCCGTATGTAGTGATTCTGTCCCTGCAACAGATCTCTTCCTGGCTCCCCAGGTTTTTTCATACATCCTTCGAAATCAGGGTGGAGGCTCCCAAGCCTCCACAGCTCTGGCACTCTGTGACCCTACAGATCTAACACCACATGGATGTTACCAAGGCCTCTGGCTTGTATCTTTCAAAGCTGTGGGTCCAGCCATACCTGGGGCCAATTTAGCCACAGCTGGAGCACCCAAAGAAGCCAGGGTCCTCGTGTGGGGAGCAGCATCCCACAGCAGCCCTGGGGGCGTCAAGCCCATGGAGGGTAACTCAGGTATGATCTCTGAGACCGTTCTGTCTCTCTAGGCCTCTGGGCCTATAATGGGAGATGCAGACCCCAAGATCTCTGAAATGCCCTCAAGGTCTTTTTTCCCTTTTCTTGATAATCCCTTTCTTCTATTACTGGTCTCCTTAGCAAACATTTGCAGGGCTACACCACTGAATTGTTCTCCTGAAAATGCTCTCTGCTTCTCTACCACATGGCCAGGCTGCGAATTTTCTAAATCTTTATGCTGTTTACCTCTTAAATTCTGGCTTTACATGATGCCTTTGCTGCCATAACTCAGCTTACCATGTGGCTTCCTGACTGTTTTGCTGCTTAGAGATTTCTTCTGCCAAATACCTTGGGTCAGCACCTTTAAGTTTCACAGTCCATAAATCTTTTGGACATAAACAGAATGCAGCCAAGTTCTTTGTCGGTTCATAGCAAGGGTGATCTTTGCTTCAGTTTCCAATAAGCTCCTTTTCATTTCTATCCGAAGCCTCCTTAGAATGGTCTTTACTGTCCGTATCTCCATAAGCATTTTGGTCATCACCATTTAACCAGACTCTAAGATGTTCCAAACCTTCCCCAGTTTTCTTGTCTTCTTAACTCCCACCAGCAGCTAAGTTTTTCTAGCCTGTTCCTCCAAATTCTTCCAGCCTTTTCTAACCTCCAGCTCCAAAGCCGCTTCCACATTTTCAAGTATTTGTTTTAAGCCACGTGCCACTTCTCTGGTACCAATTTTCTATATTAGTCCATTTCTGTTGCTTATAACAGAATACCTGGAACTGGATCATTGGTAAGAAAACAAAACTTATTGCTTACAGTTTTGATCTTGGTGTTGTAACACTGCACTCTAACCAACTGAGCCAACCAGCTGGCCATTATTGTGGCTATTGCTTGTAGTTTTGGAGGCTGGGAAGTCCAAAGTCCAGGGAACACTTATGATGAGGGCCTTTTTTGGTGGTGGTTTTACAGCAACACAAGGGTCTCACATGATAGAAAAGAGCAGAGAGAGAGAGACAGAGAGAGAGAGAGAGAGACTGTCATGTGCTGTCCCTTTAAAGCCCTCAGAACCATGTCCATGAACTAAGGCATTGTCTTTACAATCTAATCACCTGTTTAAGGCCTCACCTCTCAATTATCTTAATAGGATTTCCCACCCTCAACAGTTACAGTGGGGATTAAGCTTCAATGACTTTGGGGCACCGTTCAACCCACTGCAGGGGTCATAGTCTGATTTAATTGCTGATGAAAATATGATTTGGCACTAACACCTTGATCTAGAGCTGTGTTGTTCAATATAGTAGCAACTGGTCAGATGTGGCTATTTAAATTTAAATGAATTAAGCTGGCCAATTAACTCGGTTAGAGTGTGGTGCTGATAACACCAAGGTCTGGGGTTCAATCCCTGTACCGGCCAACAAAAGAAAAAAAAAATTTCATGAATTTAAATAAAAAACTTCAGCTCCTCAATCACCAAAGACACATCTCCAGTGTTCAACATTAGTATGGTAGCCAGTGGCTATCAGAAAGGACAATGAAAATTCATGGAACATTTCCATCATCTCATCACAGAATGCTCTAGTGGGCAGTGATAATGTAAAAGATAAAAAGGTCCCCAAAGATATTTTTATCAAGAAACACTATTTTGATGTCTTGATTGCCCATACCAGGAAGGCCTTGTCTAATTCTTATTCTGAACCACTAGAGATTTGAAATGGAAGGGAAGGGAGTAAGACCTTAGGGTTGCACATGAATTGTGAAGGTGAATTTTCTCAGTAAAGACACCTGATAGGGGATCACTATGGATAATGGTCATAGGCAAGGAGGAGGAAGCAAAGGATGTGTTGCTCTGACGTTAGGACTTCTCTTGAATGAGAAAGAGTGTGTGACCTGATTGGGCAGAAGGAAGTGGTCAAAGGCAATCTTTACACTTGCACAAGGGGCGAGTGTAGCTGCCCTTATCTTCAGCTTTCTGTAGCTTCCCTTGGATTTTTACCTCCTTACTTTCTTGGTTCTGATTAAATTGGTAAAAATAGGTTAGGCATCCTAAGAAGAACATGAATCTTAGGACCCCTTTCTGGCTTAAGAGATTCTAAATGACTTCCTGGAAAGGAAAGTAGTTCTTTTATTAGCCCTGTTTCATGTGTCTAGAAAACTTTAAAAGGAATCAAGGAAAGGAAAATCAAATTAAGAGCAGTCATACCTTTCACACTAGTTCAGGGTGTCCCTGGTGGCTTGTAGCACAGGGATTCATCTAAATCATTTTCAACAGAGTCCGAAGAAACATTCAGTTGCCTCCTTCCACCCAAGTCCTTTGATATGAGACAGATGTTAGAAGAAGAGGCCATTATTCATAAAACAGCTAGAAGGATGTTAAGAACTAAGAGATATGTAGGGACAAGACTTGTCTCTAGTAACTATACCAGGAGCAGTTTTCATAAACTGATGAGAGAATAAAAGGGTGTCTACAGGGGATGAAGAGGGAGTTTCCACAGTAGTGATGAAAACATGAGCCCTGGACCAGTTTAGCCTTGGATATTTCATCATCTTCTCACAAAAGTAAATACTCTAGTACTCAATAAATAATTGATGAATGAGTCCTCGGGAAAGAAAATCACACTGAATGCATAAATTCCTTTATTGAAAATATTGGGATAGCACTGCATTACACATAGTCATTATCCATAAATGAAGGGTCACATATTTCTGATTGGACAATACTGTTTTAAATAGAGAACCACAGCATCTGGATATGCTCTCACAGTTACAGTATCATGGACTAAACTAGGTAAGAGTGAACTATATGCAAAATGACCATTCTGTTTATTAATAGCATATGGTTGCAGATGGCATAAATGGTAAACATGATCATCATGAGACATTCCTGGTATCTCACACCAACACACTGTTTAACAAGCAGATTAAAGTTAAACTGCTCATATGTTGTTAATCAAGAATTCTCAATAGGAGAACATGGGTGAAAAGTACACCCAGGCTACGTATTAAGAATTTTATAGCATTCATTTAAACTTGCATAGAATGTGAGTGGAGTACAATAACTGTTGATCGGACAAGAGGCCATGGGACAATTTGTTCTCTTTTACAAATAGTCTAAAATAGGAGAATAATATATATAAAAAAAATATTCTGCTGAACTGTTCTTTTTTTTAAAAGGTAGATATGTAAAGACTACTTGTTATTAATTTTTCCTTTCAAAGATCACTGGGGAAATAATTATGAAAGACCACTGCTCAGCTTTGGCTATGATTTGAGATTTTTTTCCATTAGCAGTCTTTGGCTTTCATAAAAGTCTGGCAATCAATAACATTGGTTTTTAACAAGGCTTTATTATTTTAATAAAAGGGTGTTTTATGATGTGAAAAAGGGTTGATATAAAAAATAGGTTTTCCTTTTCATATTAATTTTGGTATGAATGCATTTCTTTGCATTGCTTTTTCTCAAATATAAGAGTCTAGAAACCGAGACAGTTGGGCCAATTTGACATTTTTCATGTTATTTTAAAAAAGCAGAAATTAAAACCCTCAGTTCTTTTTAAAACAGAGTCCTGATCACTAATGTTAAAGCTTGGGGAAAATTGTGCAAAAAACACTACGAAAATAAAGTTTTGTTATTAACACACATGATTTGATAAGAAGGCAAAACATTTTCTTCTCAAAAGCAGGGTTTGTTATATGCCTAGATTCATAAAGGGTATCCATTTCTATAAATATCAATTATGACTTCTTTACACAAATATGTTCAGGATAAGTAACTAAAAATGTACCTTTTTAATGACTAAATGGAAAGCTGGCCTGTAATAGTTAAGTCATGAACATTGGTAATAAGTTTTTAAAAATTCAGAATTATACATGCATATATATATATATACACACACACATATATATATGCTGCTTAAGACCTATCACCCTAAACAATCAGGGCAAAAAAATATTCAATATAAAACTATATAAATCAAACGGCTCTGTTCCCAAAACATAGCACAAAATGTATACATTTCTTTATTTCAAGATCTGACATATTAAAAAAAAACAACTGCCAACACATTTCAGACAATAAACTAGAAATAATAAATAAAAGTTTTTTAAAAAAAATCATATATTCCCTTTAAGTGCTGTGCACGTTCAATTTTTCTAAATGAGACTAAACTTTTCCATGGCAAACAATAGCTGTACATTTTGGTAATGAAAATTATGCTGATAAATACACAAGACATGTATATAATTCCACAGTATCCTCTTTTTCACAGTTACCAAAAATAAAAATTGCATTCAACTTATACATCTATAAACACTCTGATTCTTCACTGTATGGACTTGAAGGAAGTGGAAGTACAAGTCTTTCAACAATCTGGACTTCATCTTTCTTCAGTGTCTGCTCTCCACGTGTACCTTTCAGAATCTTTCTGCAATGTGATCATGCTCTGAGATGATGGCAGAAAGAAAGCCATTATGGTGGGATGAGGCAGCCCGGGCTGGTGCTTCATCTTCCAGCCAGTCTTAGGAGGGCTGGTTGAACCAGTCCTTTTAATGTTATGCTTAAGGCAGTCTCAATTTCACTCAAATGTCCATACCTCTAGGTCCTGAACTATGAAGTCCTCCTTTTTGGAAAGAATATCATTATTGAAAGTGCTGCAAGAGTTGCTTCGTCCGTGGTATAAGTCAGCATCTAGCCATAAACCAAATCGTCCCCTGAAAAGGTTAAAAAAAAAAAGGTGAAGACACTTAAATCTTATGTGGCACACTTTCTATCTTCCCCTTCCCTATCTTCTTTCCTTATCACAGACTATAAAAACTCTAAACTACTTGTAAAACAGAGTATATCTCCTTTATTTTGTCTTTTTTTTTTTTTTTTTTTAAAGATGACCGGTAAGGGGATCTTAACCCTTGACTTGGTGTTGTCAGCACCACGCTCTCCCAAGTGAGCCAACTGCCATCCCTATGTAGGGATCCGAACCTGTGGCGTTGGTGCCATCAGCACCACACTATCCCAAGTGAGCCACGGGCCGGCCCTTATATCTCCTTTATTTCATTTAAATGACCTGTCTTTCCTAAAAGCCGAGTGGTAGTAGTTCCTTATCTACACACACAAATTAATAATTTTATCTATATTCTTAGTGTCATGTATTAGGCCACTGTTCTAATTAACCCAAGCATATGGACTAGCTAAAACCACCTGACACCAAGGTTTTGGTTCCTATGGTCAAAACAGACCCACTCAGGTCAGGTGGTAAAACAACAAGAAAAATCTTACCCTCCACCACCAAGTTCTAAAGAACTTATGTCTCCATTGATAAAATACGAGTTTTCGCCACTCCACTTAAAGACCTTGGGGTTGAAACATAAGACAGAGAACAGACATTTTAATCTGGAGAATTAGCAAATGGGGAATATTAGATAGCACTTCTATGTGGAAGGGAACCACCCCATTGGCTGGGACGCTCCTGACTGCCAGACCTGGCCCGTACCACGATGAGATCTCTGAAGGGGTTACGGAGGAGGAAAGACCTTTCAGGCACATGCTGGCTTTGCACCTGAAACCCTCCCTGGATCCCAGACTGAACACCTTCCAAGGCCAGGGACCTTAAGCAGTTTGTGCTACAGTCACAAAGTGCTAACCCAGGCTGGGGTGAATCCAGATGAAGTCACAGGACAGCTACTTCCCCAACGCCCCCCACTTCCACCCCGACTGCTGACACTGTGATACTAGGAAGTCAGATATTTCTCCCATCTTGGTACCTTGAAATTAGGGCTAAATGTGTAGAGAAAGGTTTCGCCTGTGCCATAATAGTGGTCACTGAACTTGAAAGGATGAGTTGCGTATGCTCCAAAAATCTGTCAAAAGAAAACAGAAATGTTACTTTCAAATCTAAACTTCCCAAAGAAAGTCTTTCTGAAGTATTTTTGACGCAATCTTGTTCTTAGATCTCATTATATCTCTTTCAGCAAAGATTATTACTAAATTGGAGCTCTTAAATAAGAAAGACTAAAAAGTAGGAGGGGGAAAAAAAAAGACCACCATAAAAAGAATAAACATAATCTCCCAGCCCTAATTGAAATCCAAGTAGCCAGGCTTCGTGATGTGTGGAAAATCAGTCAGACTACTTGTTTGTGTAAGGCCAACAATTTGTACTAATTTTAAAAGAATTCCAAAGTCCACTATGGAGACAAATTTCCATTAGGGAATATAGGCGACATTAAACAACAGCAAGATGCATCCTGCCCACAGAAATGAGTTCTTGGGAGAACACAGTCACATTTCTTATGTGTTTTATAAGCAGAGTCATGGCTAGACATTTTCCTGAGAAAACAAACTTTCCTCCCTTTTGATTTGTAGCAATGAGTTATCATATGCTTATCAATACACTTATTACAACTATATCCTTAACATGACGATCCAATATATCTTATTTTGAAATGACTTTTAAGAAAAGAATAACAACTCTGTAATGCTAAGGGCTTTAAAGGTGATTTAGATGTGTTTAAATCAACGTTTCTTCTACTTTTGTTGTTGAGGGGTGGAAGGAGAGCCAAGTGACACGAGGAACAGCGTTTTCAGAATACGCATGTCCACTGCCTCAGTGCCTTATCTTTCTGTTCAGATCCAGATCCATACTTGCAGGGGTGGGGATTGGCAAGGGTTAGCATATATATTTTAAAAACGCCTCTAGATGATTCAGATATACCTTCTACTCCAAATCTCATTTGAGAAAACACTGCTTTCAATACAGGTTATGTAAAAAATGCCTTGCAATTTTTAAAAGTTATTTTAATTGGATCATAATCACCGTGCTCTCTTCTTCACCAATTATGCTCAGTTCCTGACTACTTGAAATACCAAACATTACGCAGAAGTCTAGAATCTCTTTCTAACCAATGTTCTTCATCCTGTCTGCTACCAAACCCTTCCCTAGAGCTGCTAAGAACAAAGGAAAACAAAACAGTAACAAAACATCAAAAATCCTTTTCCCTTCTGGTGATCTTTCAGTAAAAGAACTAGAACACAACTGAGATAAACATTTATATTTAAAAGCAGGGTGCTAAAATATGCCAAGAAGGGCAATGGTCATAGGTGGAAGAAAGTGGGTCCCTTTCTAACCAATAAATAAGAAACATCATCCTTATTCTCACTCAATGCAGGATTCTAAGTAATTATATTCTTTCCTAACTAAAATTTTCTTCACAATCATGGAAATCCATTTAAGGTCTAGAGATTGGATGATACTAAGGAATTACCATTAATTTTGCTAGGTCTATACAGCATTGGGATTATGTAAGAAAATGTCCATTTTCTTTTTTTTCTATTAATTTATTTAGAGGACAATTATATAAAATAATATGCACACGATGGTATTATTTGGCCTATACCACATAAAAATGTAATATATTTAGCAAAACAAAACAAAGAAATTCATGGGAATAAATGAAGACAACCAGAAATAATAAAATAAAAGTTAATATAACAAAACCTATAAATGTGTATTTGCTTTCCTTTGTTCTCTCAATGGCTTTAGTCGTCATAAAATTATACAAAGTAGTAATCAAAACAATTTATTGTTGTGTGTATAATATATAGGTGTAATATGTGTAACAATAATACCCCCCAAAGTGAAAAGATGTAACAGAGCAACATACAATTAACATTTCTATACCTCACTGGAATTAAGTTAGTATAAATCAGGCTCTATTAATTACCTGATAATTATTCTACTGTTTTTAACAATGCCTTGTGGTATACATTACTCTACAGTCAGATTCAATTAACCTTAGATCCCTTTGCAGGGGTAGTTTCTTTGGCCAGTCTATGATGTTCATCCTGATCGTAGGAAGGTTGTCTTTAGCTGTCTCTTTTTCTGGTTCTCTCTGATAAGCTAGCTGTTCTGTAGATTAGTTTGTTGCCTTCCTGGGGCTATCAGCCTCCTCTTAATTATTTATCAAGAAAATTTTCATTGTTTTGAGTGCCCTTTGGCTTAAGTTTCCCCATACCTGCTTGTCTAAATACAGTCAGTTCTTTTGGGTAGAGCTTCAGAGCTCTATGTCTTATGGCCTGCCTCTTGCCTGGGGAAAAATCTCTAAGCCACTGCTCTGGAGCTAGGGGCTGGACAGTGGCCTGCTTCTCCAGGAGGAATAATCAGGTTTTCTGAGCAAAGTGCTGGGCAAGGGCAGTAGCCTCTGGTCTTGGCTTGCCTAACTTGTTATGGAACTTCTGCCCGACGAGCTAGAGCAAGAACTGTAGAGACCCCAGTATTCTCAGCCTACCAGGGAAGGTAGAGCACCTTCCCTGTGATGGGGGCTGGGTGGAGGAAGAGAGCCCCCTACCTCTAGGCCACACTTGCCTAGATTTTAGCCTCTCAAATGCAGATCTTGAGTGGGGGATAAAAAGTGCTGGGGACCTGCATATAGAAGGGATATGCCATATCCCTTGATTGGCAGCTGTGGGGAGAGAGAGCCCCATCTTCTTAGCCACATGTGCCCAGGGTGGAGCTACTATCAGTCTGGGCTGGGAGCTAGGTGGGGAGGGAAAAGGTTGTGCCTCTAGTGTCACAGAATCTCATGTTGCTAGTGAGATTTATTAGATCTCCTTGAATAAATATTTCTTCCCTTGCTGTATGTCCTTAGGGCAATTTTCAGACTTTAAGTGATTGTTGTTTTTTATAATTCCTAGCAGATACAGTTCTTTCACTGGGACTTGATTCTGCAGTGCTCCTCATTCCTACCATTCTGCATATGTAATATTTTTGCATTAGAATTTCATATTATTTTCAGGTAAATTTACAGGTGTTTTTCTATCATGTTTTTAAACACAAAAAATCCACATTCTTCCCTTGGCGGTAGTTGGGGCAGGAAAAGCAGTTAGTGTTCAGGTGTCCTCAAACAACACAGCGCCTCCAGGGTACATGACTCAGTAAGACTCCACCCCGACAAACAGTGCAACCCTCAGTGTGGGCCTCCTTCACCTGTCTGCTAACAGGAGGCGTGGTGAGATGGTGCTTCACCAACACCTACCCCGTGTGGACCATCACATTCCCCAGCAAGTTTGATATATTTTGCAAATAAATAGGAAAACTATTCTATACTTTTGGTAAGGATTTGCACATGTGGTCTAAGATACCTTAGTCATACCTCATCCAAAACACAGCACCCAACTTATCAAACATTTCACTAAATCCCTAAGTAATTCCATTTTAAACAATTTGTTATTATTATTTTAATTTTTTATCTTGACTCTACCCACTATTCAGCTTAGACTATTATTAAACAAAATATCATCAATCAGGAAATAATAATAGTAACAATGATAACAGCACAACTCCTCCCTGCAACTCTTAAGCTACAATAATTGTGTAATAAAAACACAAAAGATCACTGTTGAAAAAGACGGTGTCTTTAGTACCCTTCCCTCTTCCCTAATTTTTCCCAAGACAAATTATGACAGCAAAGTTCTATTTCCCCTAAAATGATCCCACTTATATGGCTCATTCAGAGGTGGGCATGTTGTCAAAATAAAAATTCTATACTGCACAGTAAGCTCCCCAATGCTTAATAGTGCTAGGCACATAACAGACACATATTGGACCTTTGTTCAATGGATGAATAAATGAATGAATGGTTGTTGAGTAAAACCTGCTTTGATGCCAGAATGTAGAAAAGGGTGGCATCCACCTCTTAAACTATTACAGGAATTTCTTCTTAATACAACGCAGAATAAACTGAAATGAATGAAGAGCAGATTTGAATGATGTCTTTCTTTTGTGACACAAGAGCCTGACTGGGTTGTAAATGAAAAAAGCCTGAACAAGTTCCACTCACACTCTAAGCTGATTTGCGGGAAAAGGTAATACTGCAGTAACATCTAGATTTCACCAGTGCCTTCGAGAAAAACCAACTGTAACATAAGTGAAAGTGCAGTCAGGTATGGTACAGTGCATTCTCTGCTCTTTCCTACAATAGGACCCTTCAGTTATAATGCACCCTGGCCTTGCCTGGCATCGGAATTTATTTCTTCAACTATCTCTAAATCCAGATTTGACTTTCCTTAACGTTTCCAGCTTTAGGTTATAAAGTATTATCATAGTTTCCTAGTTCATGGCGAGCATAGGAAAAAAATTCCTTAGAAAGTGATTGTATTTGGGGATATTTCCCATTTTCTTTTTAGAGCTGATTCTGAAATATGTAGGGGTGAAATGACCTAATGATTGGGATTTACTTTAAAATACTTTAGCAAAGAAAAAACAAAGATTAAAAAAAAAAAAAAGACAGATAAGCAAGTGTGGCAAAATCCCACCAATTGTGGAATCTGGGTGATGGGAGTTCCTTGTTCTAGACTTTCTACTCTTGGATGGATCTGAAAATTGTCATTAGAAACATGTTCGCTGTGAGAGGGACAGGCCTCACCTGATTATCCATATCTTTGATGACCAATAGGACAGGACTGTCTAGAGATGCCGATTTGCGATAGAGAGTTTTCAAGCTGGTCCCGTGCTCTAATGTGCTATAGGCCAGTCTCCATGGATACCCTTGCACCCTTGCTGGAAGGCGACGGGCCAGCTGCAAATTTAAAGGAGGATGTAAACAGACAGTTCACCCACAAATCACACATGAGCTTGTGGCATAAAATAAGTGCCCTTGTCTTTTTTACTCAAAATCATACACATATTGTTCCCCATTACTTTGGCAAATATTTGCCATCAGAAACCAAGAATGAGAGGGGGAAATCATTACTTGACGGTGTTTGCCTTGGCAGGGAAGCTGGACAGAACATGCTCCTCTACCGGGGCCTGATCGTGGCTGTGCCACTATACATGTGAAGTCACAGATCAAGCTGGATCAAAAGGTCTGAACTAAGGGCCAGCCCGTGGCTCACTCGGGAGAGTGTGGTGCTGATAACACCAAAGATGCGGGTTCAGATCCTATACAGGGATGGCCGGCCCTTACTGTTCATATTTAAAAAAAAAAAAAAAAAAAAAAAAGTATGAACTAGACACATGCTCTTCCTTTACACTTCAACCTGACTTTTGCCAAACAGTTCGTATTTCTGCAATTGTCCTTTCTAAACCCTCGCAGGCTCAGAGCTGCTATTGACAACTGCAGCTTCCCACAAAAGTGACAGCAAAAAAACCTGGTGTTTTATGCTAGAAATCAGAGGTAGCCTGTCCTCATCACACCTGTTTCTTTCATCTACATCAACATTTAGCTTAAACACAGCTGCCATAAGTACAAATAATACTGTATATTTCTTTAAGAGTATTAGCAAAGGGGCTGTCAAGTGCTAAGTCTTCAGAGTGCTTAAGATTAATTGTAGTATCAGCATGAACCCCATCTCTATAACTGCCTGGTCAAGTTTTCTGGCTTTCTTGGGCCTTCACTGGTTCATTTGTCAATTGAGGAAGTTGAACTTGATGATTCTCTCAGTTCTCTGAAAGTCAGATTTCTAAGCTAACTGATGAGGAAAGGACAAGAGATTCTTTACTAAGGTTCAGTTATAAGCACATATAATATTTCATAAAGTTCAAGTAACACATTTTCAGAATGTATAAAGTACACAACGAAATACCTAGAGGAAGGTATTTTTCATAAACGAAGTGCATTTGCTTTACCGTTATTGAGATTGTAAATGAAAGCTATTAGAACTCTGCACTAATCACTAGGATAAATGCAGATCCTTTTTAAGTGCATTAGGACTATAGTAGGACATTTTTTTTTTTTTTTTTTTTTTAAAGGTAAGAACTGGCATTTCCTTCAGGTTTGAGAGAAGATGGTAAGGTCTGACCAACTCCTCACACTCCTACAAAGGTGGCGAGGATGCTTTGTAACTTTTCAGAAGCAGAGAAGGGGACCCCAGCCATGATGAGGCTTCCGGCGTTCCTCTTTCTAACCTTGCTCATCCTTTGCCCTGAGTGAGACGAGCAAGTGCAGTCAGGGATGGGAAATACTTTTTAAGACCTAGAAGCCCGCTCTGCGTCCCCGGGGAGAAGCACCTGCTCTATGTGCATGTTCTCCAGGAGCGCGCTGTGCGGCTTCAGGACAGGCAGCACTTCCTCGTCCTCGTCTTCGTAGTAGCTGCACGTGCTCTTCCTGCGCTTCGCCTCCTCAACGGTGATGATCTGAAATGAGAAAACAAGCCAAGAAAAACGATGCATTTGCTTTTCCTCCAGCTGCTAAAAAACACACCACAGGAACACAGATGCCTGAAAAGGTAGAGTATCGAACACAGGAGATAAATGGAGGAGGACTTTAGGGAAATAGCTAATTTTTCAATTTCAGAACGAATGCACAATTTAAGTCATTTAATAGGTACAAATTAAAGTCAGGAGATTTACAGTTTTACTATTCCTGCTGATGGCTCAATCACTGAGTGAGAATTATGTATAACTCCACAAGCAACATGTACCCTTGAAATGCCCTAAATTATTCTCCTTTAGTCTGCACCTAAATTTGAATTGTTAAGGGACTAATCAGAGCGCATTCAGTGAGTAAGTCTTCTATAAATAGAGAGTTTGGGATGATAAGGACAGTTTTTAATCAAGGTCCCTGATATTTTCTCTCAAGCTTGTGCACATAGCAACCAACTCTCCCAGAAACAATGATAACAGCTATCAGGAGCAACAACACAAAGACACACCAAGTGTTAGTCTAAATTACAACTAGGTTTCAGTTCCTTACAGACAGTTCAGAAATGACCGAAGTGTTCCTCCCTTCCAAACCTACAAACATTACTTTGTATACAACATTTATTATTTAATTGTAGCTGTGCTTATGAACTATCAAAGTCCATTTCACCTTAAAGTCAATTTTTTACCCCTCTTACATTCTGTTTAAATCACTGAATAATTTTGAAATGGAGAGATTTATATTAAACAACTAATTCACCAAAGTTCCTGGATACCACTGTTATTGACTTTTGTATAGAGAAAAAGCATTTAAGTTATATTTAGTGAAAGCTGTCAAATAATGCACACTCAATTTCCAAAATTAACAGTGGCAGATAAAAAGTAACCACTGCCTGCTGTCTGAGCCAGATTTACAGGTAAGGAAATTAGCTTATAAATGTTACCATTTTCTGAAGGAGTATTTACATAGAGAAAACACAATCAAAGAATCATGAATCCAGCACTGTAAATATGTTAAATAAAGCACCACATTTTTGGCAAGCTTTTTAATTACCACAGGCACAGGATGAAGATGTGGAGTGAAAAAAATAAAATCTGGATTTCTGACTCGAAATGGAAGGGGCAGGAACACCATATTCATCTCCACACGAATAAAATGCCTGCTCTGCTTGAAATGTCACAACCCTTTCTAATTAGCACACATTTCAAAACATACTGAGTGGCAAATCACTGAGAATTCAGCTCAGGGACACCTTCCAACATACCTTCACAAAGGGCTCTTGGTCAGGTCTGGCACAATAGAAAATCTGAATGTCCACGGGCAACCGTCGGCCTCTCATGGTGACCGGTGAGAAGTGTGGGCCGGCTTGCTAATGAGGAACAGGTTTTTTCTCTTTCTGCCTCCACACCACACTTACTTGTGGCCACGCTGAGCTACAACTGTTTTTTTAGTATCTAGTTTCCTGCATGATTGAGTTTCTGTTTCCCTTAGGAGAGGGCTCAACATTTCTACAGGAACACACCCAAATTAGGATTTAGAGAAAACACACTTCCTGTCAGGCAAAGCCGACACTTTCACCTTTGAAATGGTGGTTTCCTAACCGTACAATAAAACGCCGTTGTTTTTTTTTTTTTCCTTTTTCTCTTATGGTTTTCTTCCCTATTGTCCTTGGCTAACCTTGCTTTTCTAGCCCTGCTCTTTCGGGTTTTTTCCAGCACCTTTTTAAAGGCTAGAGCTCCATTTTAAACTTTATGTATGCTCCCTGGCATCAGTATGAATCTCAAAGTAAGGATGAAAAGGAATCTTTAGCTGAGACAGGTTCATTACAGTTAGAAAAAAGGCATTTCACTTCAATACCATGTCATATTTATTGGATGTGAGGGACATAAAAGAATGGGAGAATATCTGGTTTATATGAGGCTGTGAAAGACATGATCATAGGTGCAGATTTACAAAACAGCTGGCAAAGTAGTATTTATCTTTTTACATTTCAGAATTAGTCTTAATGACGAGGAGTTAGGTTGAGTCCTCTTCTACACTCAGATCAGATGTCAGAGGGTTGGAAAGAAATATAGATCACCACTAGATTAATTTTCAGTGATCTTTCTGTGACTCTTCCACATCTAATGTGGCCTTTTGGTCTTGAGGACTGCTAAGAGAACAGAGTGCTACTGCACAGCTCACTGTGGAGATCAGTTATAGAGAAGATTCTGGCAGATACTTAGTGACCAGTTCCAGGTCAACCAGAACTGACTTTGCCTTTTTGTCTTTTTTTTTCGTGTCTGGCAACGGATCGCAACCCTCAGTGTCATGCCCGTACTGGACTGGGACCGGCAACGGGATCACAACCCTCAGTGTCGCACCCGCCCCTCGCTCAGCCAGTTAGCAGCCGGTCTGTATGTGGGACCCGAACCCTCGGCGGGAGCGCCACCGCGCTTCCCAAGCGGCGCACTATAGCAGTGCGCCACCGGGCCGGCCCCTCACTGATGGATTTTGTACCAGTAAGACAGCACTTTCTTCAGTTCCTAGATGACAACTAACATTTATTGAGTGCTTCATATATGATGTCCAGGTGCTTTGTGAGGCAAGGGGACAGACACAAAGCAGTCCACAGTCTCCAGTGGGTGAGGAGACAGTAGATAATTATCAATAAATGAGTGACATTCCATGTGATACGGATGCTAAAAGCTACAGAAGATGCCCAAAGGAGGTTGGGGCAACCTGGGGGGTTCTGAGATGGCTTATTCACAGAGGAGATGGTGAAATTTGAGAGCAGAGTGTGGGGTCTGGGGAAATGTTCCAGGGCACAGCAGGAAAAGAGAGATGGGTTCTAGGTTTACTATGACTGGAGAATAGAGAGCAAGGGAAGTAGCGAGGAGGGAGGGAGATGAGGCTGGGGAGGGAGCAAGAGTAGAGAAAACGAAGAACCCTCATGTCATGAAGGGGCTTAGAACTTATCCTATAGGTCAGTGTAGTGGATTGAATTATGGCCCTCCAAACTCACTGAAGCTTGAATTGTGTCCCCCAAGTTTTATGTATTAGTGACTTAGCCCCCACTGTGACTGTTAAGAGGGTGGGAAATCCTATTATGGTAATTGAAAGGTGGAGCCTTGAAGAGGTGATTAGACTGTAGGACTGTGCTGTAATGAAGGGGTTAAAAATAGTGGCCAGGGGCGTGGTTCTGAGGGCTTTAAGAGAAGAGGAGAATCTGTCTTCCTCTCTCTCTTGCTCTCTCTGCTCTACCATCTTGCAGTGTGAGAGCCCCAGGTCACTGTTGCCACCACCAGATGGACTTTGGACTTCCCAGCCTCAGAAACTGTGAGCAATAAATTTGGTTTTTCTTTATAAATCACCCAGTTCCAGGTATTTTGTTATAAGCAACAAAAACAGACTAATACAATCAGCGTTTTTTAAACCAGGCTGTTCTTCAAAATCATCTAGGAGCTTTTTAAAATACAGATTTCAACATTCCTCCTCCAGACCTACTGAATCAAAGTCTCTAGTGATAAGGGTCTACGATTGAGGTAGTTATTTTAACAATTGGCCAGGGGAGTAACAATTGCTTCAGGCAATTGGGGGGAAGCGGAGGGAGAACATGGGGTGGCAAAAGAAACGAGAGGACATCGAAAAGGAGAAAAACAAATGGCTAATTCAAGAATACATTTATATTCATTTTATCCTCAACAGTAATCAAGGAAATAAAAATCAAATAATAAGGCAACATTTCTCAGCTTCCAAATTAGCAAAAATATTTATAAAGGGATAATAGCAATAATGCTCTCTGGTGGCAGATGCACAGTGACAGGGTATTCCTCACATTGCTGGCAAGGCGTTACATAAAAAATTAGGAGCCTTAAAAAATTAGTACCCTTAAACCATGTAATTTCACTTCCAGGAAACTAAGGGAATAATAAGGGTTGCAGATCATCTCATCCTTGTGAAAAGCTTGAATCAACACAATGATTCCTAAAAGTGGGCAACTATTAAAGTATAATAGAGATTAAAAAAGACTATGCAACCATTAAAAATGAAGCTCTTAAAATCTTTAATAATATGACATAATTCTTACAATACAGCAGTGAGAAAAACCAGATACAAAATATACACAGAACACAATCCCATTTTGCAAAAATAAAAAGCAACATGCACCACCTCCACCACCATCCAGAAAACATCCTAAAGCAAAATAGAAAAAAAAAGAGTAGGAGAAAATGTATAAAATTGTTAACTGTGGTTAGATAGTATTATTAAATATTCTGCATAATATTTTTCTGTAGTTTCCAAATTTCCTGCAATAGGCAGGTATTACTTTTATAAAATGAGGAAACAAAGCTTATTTAAAGATCTTGTGTATGGCAGGATGGACTGGTGGTCAGGTTGGGACTGGAAGTGTCCTTGGGAGTCCAAGTGAAGGGTGCAGAGAGCCTGACTAGGGCAGTGGTGATGGAGGGGAGCAGAGGACCCTGCACCACTTAAGATCAGAATCAACAAGATTCTGACTAGAGATGACTGACTGCACGTGATGATAAAAGAAGAATCTGGGAAATCTAGGTTTCTGGCTTGGACATCACTAATGAAGTTTGGAATACATGAGGAGGAGCAAGTTAGGGGAAAAGATGATGAGTGTTTTTGAACATACCGAGGACCAAACACCTGTCATCTTCTCAGGGAGTGCAAGGTTCTCTTTCCCCTCCCACAAAGGAGGAGAAATGCTGTGACTGTGGACTGGCTTGAAGATAGTGCCAGCGGGGAGAGCCTGCTCCTGCATGGGAGGGAAGCAGCGGTTTTCTCCTCATTGAACTTTTGGACTCTCTTCCACATGGAGAAAAGGGCTAAGGTGGCCTGAGCAGTCTAGTCACCTCTCTCCAGCTATCTTTTTGTTCCATGTGTCCTGAGCACTGGTAAGGGCAGTATAGGAACTTGGAACAGGCCAACCCATTGCTTCCCCATTCTCTATCCCTTCTTCTTCTCCTCCTCTTCCACTACGGGTCAGGGACTACCTTCCAGAAGGACCTGCCCTCTCTTCCATTCTCCTCAGCAGCTGGGCCTGAGAAGGCCTGGGGCCCACCGCCCAACCCCACTCTCCTCAACCCTAGATCCTGAAGTAGACCTCCCGCTCTGCACGCCTCTTTCGCTCCCTTTCTTCTGGTGTTGGTATATGTGGCCTCTTCTTCCCCGGGAGTTGTCAAAAGCTGAGATTCCAGTCTAGGGTTGGTGGAAAGAAGAAGAATAAGCCTTAAGAGGACTGCTTTGTCTCTAAATATTCAGGCCTAGTCAGGAAAGGATTAAGTCCCCCATTGGTCAAAACCTTCTCTCTGAAACTCTGCGTTAGGGTGAAAGGCCACAGCCTTGGTAAGAAAAAGCACCTTTTCTGGCTTTGCTTCCTTTATCCCATATTTCATGGGGGCATCTTGGGCAGGGATGATTAGGTGAGGACAGGACTTGATATTCCTGTGTCTCTTGGCTGGAACACGAGTGTCACGCCTTGCTTTACGGAGACTTCCAGGAGGATGTGTGGGGCAGCTGTGAATTGTAGAGTACTAGCTTGGGAGAAAGAGTTCTGTGAGAGGCAGATGTGGGATCAGCAGCATAAACCACAGACTTGATGAGCTCATCTAAGGAAGATGTAACAAAGGAGAAGAAAAAGCCAAGGACAAACTCCTAGGGAACACCATAAGGAAGGGAACAAGCAAAGTAGACTCAGAAAGACTGGCCAGAGACAGAAGGAAAAACAGACCAAAAATGAATATAAAAAAGCCAAGAGGGGAAGCCTACTATGCTTAAAAACCTTTAAACAATGGTCTCAAACAAGGAGCTTATGCACTATGGGGAGACAAACATGTTTACGAGTTAATTGCTGGGCAATGTACTACAGAGGTATGAACAGTGGGCTGTAGGAAGTCAGAAGTAAATCTGCCTGAGTTGCAGGAGGACAGGACTGTCATGGACAGCTGTGCGTGTGCACAGGGCTGGGGGAGTGAACGGGAAAGGGAAGAGTGAGTGCCAACATGCCTGTGAAAGGACCCAGCATTCTAGAAGAGATTAAGCCTAAGGTGCAGACCTCATCACCCTTGGCCATTCCAGTCGGACAAGGTTCCAGCCTTGGAAGAATGCAACTGCCCACTGGATGAATCTAACACCAGGCTGGGGGAACTGCTGGAGAAAATTGCCCCACTCTGCAACCTGGTGCCACTATACACATACAGTGTCAGACCCCAAGGGGACCTTCAGTCCCAGCCAGCCTACTATTTATTGTTCCTTACTTGGTGTTTTCTGTATTATCTCTGTCATTGCTATCTCGAACCTTCTTCACATTCTCCTTTGGTTTCTAGGAGTTGCCCCTTCCTTCTGCTTCAGAGGAAATAGAAACCATCAAATGAGAAGTGCCATGATTTATTGTCACTGAATCTACATCTGATTTGCACACATCCTTTTCTCCTGTCTGATCACCTCAGGCTAATCCTTCCACATTCCCTGTGGCTTTGCAGGGACCTACCATTCTGATGATTTCCTCTCTCATTCCCTATCTTCCACACCTTCTACTCTATCCTTCCATCTCATCTCACCTAAAATGTTAAAGTCTCTCAGAGGGAAACCTGCCCCCACCCCACCTCACCTCTTCCAGCTCACCATATTATCCCATTTTTCTTCTCCAAAGCCAACTCTTGAGCTGTTTGCTCAAATTTATTAGCTCCACTTCTTCACCCCCTGCTCATTCTTTGAATCACTGGAATCTAAATTTTGACCCGGTCACTTTAATGAAACTGCTTTTGTTAAAGTCACCAACTACCTCATTGGTTTTAGATCCAAAAGGTGTGTTTCAGTTCTTCTGACTCCTCTGTAACATTAGTCATTTTTGACCAACACTCCCTTCTTGAAGTATTCTCTTCTCTTGGCTTCTGAGACATGACCTTCCTGCTTCTCTCCCCCTTTCCTGGCTTCTCCTCCTCAGTCACCTTTGGGGGCTGTACTTTCTCTATTTGGTCCATTAATGCTGGTCTCCTTCAGGGTTCTGTTCTGAGCCATGTCATCTTTCCACTGTACATACTCTCTTGGGATGACCTCATCCACACCCGTAACTTCAATTTTTCTAATGATTTCCAAAATTACATCTTCAGATCTTTTTCCTAAGTTTCATTCTCAATTGTCTCTTGGACATTCCATAGCATCTCAAACCCAGATTAAAGCCAGAATGCAGAGCCTTTCTACTGAATCAAATCCTCTTGCTATGCTCCTTATTTCACTCAGTGACAGGCAGCTACTACTATCACTCCAGTTCTGCCGTGGATTGAATGTCCTCCCTTGAACTCATTGAAGCTTAAATGTATCCCCCAAAGTTCCAGATATTGGAAGCTTGGCCCCCACTGTGACTGCTGAGAGTATGGGAAATCCTATTCTGATGATTGAAAGGTGGGGCCTCTGAGAGGTGATTGGTTTGTAAGGGCTATGCCCTAGTTCATGGGTGTGTTTCTAAGGGCTTTAAGAGGACAGCACATGAGAGTCTCTTTCTTTCTATCTGCTCTGCCATTTTCTGCCATGTGAGACCCCTGCATGTGGTAAAGCCACCACCAAAGAAGACCCCCACCAGATGTGTTCGCTGGACTTTAGATGTCCCAGCCTCTGAAACTGTAAGCAATACATTTTATTTTCTTACAAATTACCCAGTTCTGTGTATTTTGTTATAAGCAACAGAAATGGACTAACACAAGTTCCCACTCTAAAATCCAAGAGATCAATCTTGACATCTTCCTTACTCTCCACATCTAATTATGCACAAAGTCCTGTGTATTCCACCTTCTATCTATCTTTCAAAGTCAGGCACTCAATTTTATCTATCCTCACTGCCACTTTCTCAGCAACCATTATCTCTCAAAATTGATTAATGCAAGAGCCTCATAATGGCTTATTAAGTTTAAAAAGCCTGTCTTATCTATCATCATATTTACAGGGCCCTGCCCCAAAGGGGTACTTGATACATGCCTGCCTGATGGGATGAAGGGAACTAGGGTTTGGCAAACTATAGCCAAATGCAGCCCACCATCTGTTTTTGTATGGCACATGAGGCAAGAAAGTTTTTATATTTTTAAGTGGTTGAAAAACATTTTTAAAGAACAATATTTTATAACCCAAAATAACTATATGAAATGGAACACAGCCATGCTCATTCATTTATGTTTTGTCCGTGGTTGCTTTTGCTTTTGACAGAAGTAGCTGCAACAGAGATTGCATGGCCTGCAAAGCCAAAAATACTTATTACCTGGACTTTTCCAAAAAAACCCAAAACAAAACAAAAAAAACTTGCTGACCTCTGAACTAAGGCATGAGGCTATGAGTGAGAATATAAGTGGATTGTCCAGTGTGGTTGGAATGAACTGTGTGCATGTACGCATGGTGGTGCTGATAACTATCTCCAAACAGGAATAGTGTTATTTTCCCCTATAATTGCACAGATTCACAGGAACTCTAACTTCTTACCAGCCAGTTACTTGGAATCTGAACATAAGACTGCACACTGTACTTTAGAGACCAAAACAGCTAGCCCCAACCCAAGTGCTCACCTCCCAGCTCTTGGTGGTTGGCTCGCTGAAGAAGTTGTCGATCATATTCAGTTCTTCCTTTTCCACCACCACAAAGCCTTGCTCTTTGGCGTCTTTCCCATAGACGTCAGGAGACCATTGAACAAAGAATGTGTACAAGTGATCCACCCTGAAAAACATGTTCGTGACAGGTGTTAACACTAAGTCCGCTTTCCTGGCAGCCACTCGGAGGGACTTGGGTACATCCAATGATCTTTTTCCTGCTTGGCAAATCCATTTTGCTAACTGGGAAATTTCCCACTGTCAGGATTATGTCTACAAGTAGCCTTCCAAACTCTGAAAATAAAAGGCAACAAATGAAAGCCAATGTCCACATGCACTGAGAAAAGGTTAAAACTGTCTTTTAACCTGAGGGAAAGATCAAGAGAAGGGGCATAAAACTGAAAAACACAACGAAATATTTACACCAAATTTTTTTTCCTTGCTGAGTCTTCATTTATTAGATTCCTGTAATCATTGAGAAAAAAATGTTGATCTGAAGTTTTAGCTGGGAACAAAGATAAACAATACTCCAATGGATGTTTTTATAGATCAAAGTACTGTTATATTGTAATTTTAATAAAATATCTTTGATAAATAGAAAGTGTCAGGAATAATACTAGCTACTATTTTAATATGAGAAAGGGACCTAATTTTGACTATGGCGTGTGCTTTGCTTCCAATTTCTCTATTCTCTTATATATATTTAATATATGAAGGTTCTCTAGCATCTCTGCAGGCTTCATCAGTAGAAATATGGCTAATTCCCAAGCAGAGGATAGGAACTCTCAGTTCCAGCACTTGCAATATCCCCTCAAGGTAGGACAGTCACACGTTCTCCGACCTCAGATTCCATACCTATACCCATCAAAGTAGGGGAGAGGGCAATGGGTAGGATCAAATGATCCTTAGTCTCTTCTAATTACAAAATGATAATTCCAATTTGCGGTTATTGGGGGACAATGTTAATTTATCATTAATTTTTAAAAACTTACAATTATGGGCCGGCCCGGTGGCGCACTGCTACAGTGCGCCGCTTGGGAGCATGGCGGCGCTCCCACCGAGGGTTCGGATCCCACACACAGACCGGTTCCCGCTCACTGGCTGAGCGGGGTGCGGACGCAACACCGAGGGTTGCGATCCCGTTGCCGGTACCGGTCCGGTCCGGTACGGGCGTGACACTGAGGGTTGCGATCCATTGCCGGACACAAAAAAAGACAAAAAGGAAAACAAAACAAAACAAAACAACAAAAAAACAAAAACAAAAACAAAAACTTACAATTACCTAAAAATATAATACTAATAGAACTAAAACAAAAATAGAAATGTCACGCACAATTCTGATATCCCAATAGATCACACTGCTTTTAGGTTTCCACATTCCTATCTGTTCTAGTCCACGTTACACAGTTTATACAGTTTTCTTTTTATTGTAATCAGAGTCAAGACATAATTGTTTGTTAAATGTAACATTATATAATACATGTTTAACACGCTGCTACTCTCTGTACTCATTCTTAATGGCTACATTTCATGAAACTAGTAAGTCACAATTAGCCTGTATTCCTATGTCATCAAGTTTTAGCTTGTTTCTATTTCTTTGATTATAGGAATAATGTTGCAATGAATATTTCACAGTCTAAGCCATTCACTATCTTTTGAATTATTTCTTCAAGATTAGTTCCCAGAAAAGGGATTACTAGGCTAAAGGGCATGATTTTATAGCTCATGATTCATCCTGCCAAACTGCTTTTGAAAGGCTAACTAGGTTACTCTGACACCAGCACTGCAGTTCATAACAACCTTGCTTGTGCTTTCTTTTTTTTAAATAAGTTTTTAATGAATTTAAGTTTTACCAACTCACTTTGCATTTCTTTGAGTGTTGGGGGTTGAACATTCTTCAATGTTTTCTTCCTGACTGAAGCTTTTCTTTTATGAATTGGCTCTTTGTCATTTGTGGTGTCAATGTTTTTCTTTTCAATTTGTGGGAACCTTTATGTAATGTAAACATTAACCACTATCAAATTGGTTTCCAAGGTGTTGTTTCCCTTTTAATATTATGTCTTTTTTTTTTTTTTTTTTGTCTTTTGTCTTTTTCCGTGTCCGGCAACGGATCGCAACCCTCAGTGTTGCCCCCGTACCGGACCGGGGACTGGCAACGGGATCGCAACCCTCGGCGCTGCCCCCGCGCCTCGCTCAGCCAGCGAGCGGGAACCGGTCTGTATGTGGGATCCGAACCCTTGGGCGGGAGCACCGCCGCGCTTCCCAAGCGGCGCACTTATCCAGTGTGCCACCGGGCCGGCCCAATATTATGTCTTTTCCCCCACAGCACAGAATTATCATCACATACTTTAAACGTCTATTTCCTTTTAGATTTCTTCTTCAAAACATGGAAAGTTGTCACTCAAGACAGAGTGTGTATCAGTGTATATGATATGCTACCATTTCCATAAAAAGAAATAGATACAGATATTGAATATGCTATAATTGTCCATGGATATGATATTTATGTTTCAATTTGGTGAGGCTATGGTTTCAGTTTTTGGTCAAACACAAGCCTAGATGTTGCTGTGAAGATATTTTTAAGATGTGATTAACATTTAAATCAGTAGACTTTGAGTAAAACCTCCATAATGTGGGTAGGCATCATTCAATCAGTTGAAGGTCTTGAGAGAAAAAGACTGAGGTCCCTCAAGATGGAATTCTTCCTTCAGACTTAATACTGCAACATCAACATAACATATATTCTATTGGTTCTGCTTTTCCTGGAGAACCTTGACTAATACAATGTACTACTCTGAAAGGCTGCAAAAGAAATGATCAAAATGGGAACAGAATGAAGTGAAAGACATTTTATATTGTTAACATCTTTCTTTAAACTATTTTAATATTTGGGGGCTGGCCAGTTAGCTCAGTTGGTTAGAGTGTGGTGCTGATAACAACAAGGCCCAGGGTTTGATCCCTGTATTGGCTAGCTGCCAAAAAATAAGAAGAAGAAATTATTTTAATATTTGGAACAGGTAGTGCATTTATATGATTCAAACATCAAAATTATATTTAAAAAGGCATATAATGAGAAGTTTCCTTCTCACTTACATCTCTGTTCACCCATGTCCCATAGGTGACCACCTTATTCATTTCTTATATTTGTAGCACTATTTATATATTAAAAATATATACCTTTTTTGCCTTCCTTTTCTTTATCATTATTATCGTTATCATGATTATTATCTCTATCTTGCTTTTTCACTTAGCAATATATCCTAGATATCTTTCTATCAGTATATAGATGTTTTCTTCATTCTTTCCTTTATAGCACGTAGTACTTACTATGTGGATTTACCATAATTTATATAACCATCCTCTATAGTCGGATACTTGGGTTGTTTCCAAGATTGTGCTGTAATAAGCAACACTATGATGAATTAACTTCATATGTTAGTCATTTAACTTGTGTACAGGCATAGCTATAGGATATATTCCCAGAAGTGGGATTGCATTGACAAAGGAACAATTCACCTATAATTTTGATATATAATACCACATTGTCTGGTATAGGCATTATATTATCTTTCCCTCCCACCACTAACTAACATGTATCTCTTTTGAACCCCTGAACTACCTTTACCATGTAGTATGAACTTCCATATTAAAAATTAACTTAGAAAACATGAAATAAAACACCACTCCAGAGAGGTTTGATAAATGTACAATTCGAAATCTCTTAGTTTTTTTCAATACAGTCATACATTGCTTAATGACAGAGATACATTCAGAGAGATGTGTCATTAGGTGATTTTATCATTGGGTGAATGTCACAGAATGTACTTACACAAACCTCGATGGTACAGCCTACTACAAACCTAGGCTATATGGTATAGCCATTATAATCTTATGGGACCATCGTCCTACATGTGGTCTCTTGTTGACCAAAACATCATTATGTGGCACATGACTGTACTTAAAAAAATTTACTCCATCTTAAATGTATTTTGGAGTGGAGCTGCGAACCAAATATGCTTCAGTATAACTTCTGGAAAAGGAAACATTTATTATGTGTATATCTGCATTGGATAAAATCCGTAGGCACAAGTGGTGTCCTAATCGCCTGTTGGCTAGCCTACTTGAGAAAGAAGAGCGGCCCCTAATACCTCGAAGCTAACCTGGCACTATCAGCTAGGCCTCGGTGTTGCACTCACAGCTAGGCCCTGGTATTTTCCTATTATTGAACATAAATAATTTCACAGAACACCTACATCAAACAAGACCACTCTATGACCATGACAAACCACAACAAAGACAAGACCACCTGTAATCATATCTGAATATAAAAAACCACATTGCCCAGCCACAAAAATGACCAAACATCTCCCTAATCTGGATCATATGAATGACTCTCTTCTTTATCAATTATAGCATTAATCTCTCTAGCTTTCCCTCTTTTTAGACAAGATTTAATAAAATACCCAATCCAAATTATTCCTCGCAGCTTTCCATCTAGAGCAAAGCCCTGCTTTCTTAAGTCCTCCCCAAAATCACCTAACACAAACCCAAATCCTTTCTAACACCCTCTTCCTGAGATGGTCCATGGCTCCCGGCCGTATGTGTTCTCACTCACTGCAACAAGACAACAACTCAACTCGTTCAGCCACAGGTGTGCTCCTGCTGGTCTTTGTTTAGACGGCATTGCTTCCTTTGACAATACCTCTGGGGTGACTCTTAGGGCACATGCTGCCCAGTCTCCGTTCCTGTTGCTGCACCTCCTACCAGCAGCCTCATGCCACTGCCTCAGGCCCTGGGACTGGCCAGTGGGCACTGTGCTCTGTGCCGGTGGGCAGCAGCCCTGAGCGGCCTCCCTCTCCCCTCAGGCATGGGCTCTTTCTCTGTGACCAATGGAGTCACCCCAGCCTCAGGAAGCCTCGGGTGAGGGGAGATGGGAAACTCAAGGGCACGTTTTGCAATGGGGCACCCTGATGGGAAATGTTCATGTCTTTTCTCTCAGACACTCGGGGGAACTAGCACACCCCAACTTCCCTCAACAATAGCCTCCTTTTCTCATGGAGGGAGGGCCCTCGTACTGTGCCTCTGAGGGAAAGCAGAAGGAATGAAGAATTAAAATGGTCGATTCCA